CTTGTTACCCAGGCTGGAGTGCAATGGCGTGATCTCGGCTCACCGCAACCTCCGCCTCCTGGGTTCAGGCAATTCTCCTGCCTCAGCCTCCTGAGTAGCTGGGATTACAGGCACGCGCCACCATGCCCAGCTAATGTTTTGTAGTTTTAGTAGAGACAGGGTTTCACCATGTTGACCAGGATGGTCTCGATCTCTTGACCTCTTGATCCACCTGCCTCGGCCTCCCAAAGTGCTGGGACTTTTTAAAAAAATGACATGGAGGCCAGGCGTGGTGGCTCACACCTGTTATCCTAGCACTTTGGGAGGCCAGGGCAGGTAGATCACCTGAGGTCAGGAGTTCGAGACCAGCCTGGCCAACATGGCTCACCTGAGGCCAGGAGTTCGAGACCAGCCTGGCCAACATGGCGAAACCCCGTCTCTGCTAAAAACGCAAAACATTAGCTGGGCACCTGTAATCCCAGCTACTCGGGAGGGTGAGGCAGGAGAATCACTTGAACCCAGGAGGCAGACGTTGCAGTGAGCTGAGATTAGACTATTGCACTCCAGCCTGGGCAACAAGAGTGAAATTCCATCTCAAAAAAAAAAAAAAGACATGGGAAATTACCACCAGTGTTTTCCACATTAGCGTGAGTTAATTCCTCAGATACTTTTTTTTTTTTTTTTTTTTGAGACAGAGTTTCACTCTTGTTACCCAGGCTGGAGTGCAATGGCGCGATCTCGGCTCACCGCAACCTCCGCCTCCCGGGTTCAGGCAATTCTCCTGCCTCAGCCTCCCGAGCAGCTGGGACTACAGGCATGTGCCACCATGCCCAGCTAATGTTTTGTATTTTTTAGTAGAGACGGGGTTTCACCATGTTGACCAGGATGGTCTCGATCTCTTGACCTCGTGATCCACCCGCCTCGGCCTCCCAAAGTGCTGGGATTACAGGCTTGAGCCTCTCAGATACTTTTTAAAAGCCCAGCGTGATAGTTAAAAGCTGCCTAGTAGAAATAGAAGTTTTAAAAACAGGGGAAAGGGAAGAGTAACTTTCCTGTTTTCTGACTGCTGAATAGTCAGGAAAAGTTGCCAAACAGGAGACTGATGTTTAAAATTTGGGGACTTGCTGAAGTAGGGGATTGGGAGAGGGAAGGAAAACATAAGACGGGAGATGAGGAAGCTAAAAAAGGAAACGAATAGCTCTCACATATTACATCTTAATCAGCACAAAGTTAAGACATTTCCACCCACTGATTTAATTCCCTTCTGTGTTTTATACCATGCCATTTGTATTTTGTCAGCTATTTACTATTTTAATAGTGATGAATTTTCAGAATCTATGAGACACATAAATCTGCGCCTTTAAAATCTGAATTTTCAAAGATAGAAAAGCTAGAAAGTGAATATTTACATTAAAAACATACTTCTTACTATTGCAAACAAAGTTCAGTATAAGGATCCCTAAAGCAGTTGGCATCTTTAGATATTAAATGATTCACTTTCCAAAAATACTTTGCAGACAGCCTTTGAGGAAAACAATGGACTCTTAAAATAAGGCACCCATTTCCCTAGCAAGCAGATGCAGAGTGAATGAATGAATAAATAAATAAATAAGGCACATTTATGATTATAAAGTGAGAAAAACAGGAAAACTAATATTTGGATTTATTTTAGGTTCAAAAGTTCTGAGCTGATTCTTGAGACAGTCAATACTGTCCATATTTTATTCACTTATTTAAAACATGCAAATATAGTCTTTTTGCTCCCCTTAAATAGGCTCAGAGGCCTAGAAACTTTGGGGGAAGAAACCATACGAAACTTTTCAAGTAGATTTTAGTCTGGGTGTGGTGGCTCAGGTCTGTAATTCCAGCACTTCGGGAGGCCAAGGTGGGTGGATCACTTGAGGTCAGGAGTTTGAGACCAGCCTGGCCAATATGGTGAAATCCCATCTCTACTAAAAATACAAAAATTAGCAGAGTGTGGTGGCATATCCCTGTAGCCCCAGCTATTTGGGAAGCTGAGGGAAGTGAATCACTTGAACCCGGGAGACAGAAGTTGCAGTGAGCCAAGATCTTGCGATTGCACTCCAGCCTGGGTGACAAAGCAAGACTCTGTTTCAAAAATAAATAAATAGATTTTATTAATAGAAGTAATATCCTTGTTATATCCTTATTTTGGATTAGTCTGTTCTTTGCATAGACTTAGATGTTTTGAAATAATATTGCATTGTTCCAACAATCTGGCAGGCATGGACTTTTTTTTTCTTTTCTTTTCTTTGAGACAGAGTCTCCCTCTGTTACCCAGGTTGGAGTGCAGTAGCATGATCTCAGCTCATGAAACCTCCACCTCCTGGGTTCAAATGTTTCTCCTGCCTCAGTCTTCTGAGTAGCTGGGATTACAGGGCTGTGCCACTGTGCCTCACTAATTTTTGTATTTTTAGTAGAGATGGGGTTTTACCATGTTGGCCAGGCTGGTCTTGAACTCCTGGCCTCAAGTGATCCATCCACCTTGGCCTCCCAAAGTGCTGGAATTACAGGCATGAGCCACCATGCCCACCTTGGGCATGGACTTTTTAGACAAGGGGGTATTTATGGCCAGCTGAGGCAAAGCAGTCACTGCTCTGAGTCTCTAGGTTTCATCTTAGATGTAGAGACAATGGCAGACTCTTTTCTCTTCTGGCTTGATATTAAAAATGTGGAGCAGATTTCAATTTCCATTTGGTAGTCCTCTGTTGAACAGTTTAGCATTTGTGATATGTGGTGGTTGGAATAACCTTCCTCTCCATGACACTTTTTAAACAGCTTGGTATATTGGGTTTAGTTTTTGCTGTTGAATTATTACAAAGGGAACATGTAAGGGTTTGAATGCTTTTGGATGTCTTCAGGTAATGAGCCAGTGGAGTTTGGAGTGGATGCACTGTGGTTGAGTGAAGGTGATAGAATTCTGACACATTATGTACAACAGATTATTTTCAACCTTTTCCTTCACCAGGCTATAACTGGAACCACTAATAAGCAAGGTTCTTAGAAGATCATCTAGGTGTTAAATGGCTTAAAGGAAGCAGGAGTGTGGTATTTCCGTGCCCCAGTGGTATATATGTGGGTGGTGATTGTACCCAATTGCTACCCATCCCCCACCTGGAAAAGTCAGGCTTACTCTTTCTCCTTTCATTCAACACACAGTTAAAAATAAATTTAAATGGCCACTGTTAGCATGGTGGCTCACGCCTGTAATCCCAGCACTTTGGAAGGCCAAGGCGGGCAGATCACTTGAGGTCAGGAGTTCAAGACCAGCCTGGCAAACATGGTGAAATCCCATCTCTACTAAAAATACAAAAATTAGCCGTGGATAGTGGCATGTACCTGTAATCCCAGCTACTCAGGAGGCTGAGGCAGGAGAGTCACTTGAACCCACGAGGTGGAGGTTGCAGTGAGCCAGGATGGTGCCACTGCACTCCAGCCTGGGTGACACAGCAAAATTCCATCTAAATAAATAAATAATAAAATAAATTTAAGTGGCCAGGTGTGGTCTGGCCAGGCTCATGCCTGTAGTCCCAGCACTTTGGGAGGCTGAGGCAGGTGGATCCCTTGAGTCCAGGAGTTCAAGACCAGCCTGGGCAATATAGTAAAATCCTATCTCTACA